GCTCGTGAAATCTAATTGCGAGCACCAAATGCTGCTCCTGATGCAGGAAATGCATTGTTTTAAATATGATGCAATGAATTGACATTGAGACAACTCAAGTCTTCGTATCTAGGTCACTTCATTTATGAATTTTCAGCAGTCGGCGACACAAGGAACAAAACTCGATTGTGTTTTAGAACACAAGAGACCAAACACATATGGATTTTAGAACAGATTATAATGCACTTCTGTGATTGAATCCAGCATGATTAATTAAACAATATCCAGGCCATCAGGACTAGACCTCTACATAGCATTCAAACGGTCAGTTGATATCAGGAAACCAGTGAAATATCAGTCCTTAAGCCGTTGATGTATAACCTTAGTACAGAATCGCCATCATTGGAGTCGACTGAACCGCTCAAACACTGTGTGTGAGAATCTGCGAGCTGCAAATCTCATTATAAAAGTTCACAAAGCCTCAAGTTGCAATGCGAAGTTAAAACCGTGTCTCCAAAACGGTGACACCGAATTCCTCACCAAAGTCATGGCAGAATTGCTTGCAATTGCCGCAGCACATCATGTCCACAATAAAACACAAAAATTAGGCAGCGAAATCATGTGTTTGATAGTCACACTTTACCAGAAACTTTCTGTGACTTGATTAACTTGTTGTGTCTTATCCTCAATTGTCTGGAATGCTTGAATTCAACTTCATTTACTTCACCGGTTGATGATTGGCATGTCTGACGTTTCCTGGATCTCTCATTGGTTCAACCTACAACCAATCAGCGACCCTCTTTATGTATTCTATATAAAGAACTACGCACACCTGTGTAGAGCCACGAGCCGAACTACTTCGAATTGCGATTACTGTAAGTCGTAAATGTAGGGAAGAAGTCTTAGGAATAAAGTATATTGACAGTCAAATTAAATCATTTAAACAGTTTCTTGTTCCAGAGGTAGCTAAGTAAAAAAACAAGACATAAAATGAATGTTTTATTCAAATCGAAAAAGGTATTACAAATTAGTTAATATATTCCGGTTAACCCAGGATGCTTTATGTTATTTCAACTGATTGGCTAAGACAAATCTGGTGCAGGTTGTGCTTTGCTTTCTTTCCTCTGAATCCCTCGGTCACCATGACGATACCTCAGCAAATTTGACTCTGTCGTCTGTTGAAACGAGGCAAGATCCGTTGCACGTTTGGCACATGTGAATAACATCTTGAAGAACAGATAATCACACCTGGGGATGGACAAACTCACTTACAAAACAAAACAGATGGAGTTTGAATTCAACGACTATGATGACGACGTGCTGTGTGACATTAGCTGATGTCGATCTTGCTGGTGAAATAACCCTGTACAGTCTGAATGACTCGGGCAGTGTTCGATTGGAGACGTAGCCCAACGGGCATGATTATTGTTAAGTAGATTGGGTGGGCATGGGATGGTCCAAACCTGAGTGATTTGAGACCAGCTCGTGGAGTAGGTCTATTATCAGAGAACGCAGTTATCACCGCATAAATCAATCACTGTCTATTGTAGACCGTCTATCGCATCCACGAATAAAAATCTCCAAAACTGCACAACTCGTTGCACGAATATATCATTTTGCAGAGTGTGCGACTCAAGTGAAACAACAAGTTTCACATAATGGGAAATTACATCGAATGAATCAACAGAGTTAAACTTCCCACCACACTGCCAAGTCTAGTGTCTGTTATGCTGCACTGTCGTTTAGAGGATGTGAAAATGAATCCTGTCAACAAAAAATGTCAATTCTGCATTGCAATTCAATCCACTCTGTCTGGACTTCATTCTTGATGGTAGGTCTCTAAGAACGGCGTGACAACAGCGGCTGGCATTAAACCACGACTAAATATTCCTTGCTTCCTTCCTTGGTCCTGACACTAGAACCGACCTTCTCACGCCAACGCAAAGCAAGACCAGAGCCATTGAAGCTAACTTTAATTGTCTTAGCCAAAGGCGAGTGACCTGTCAGGTAGCGAATACTCATTTACGTCAAGGAAGCCCTTGACCTGGTGGATGAAACAGCTTCACACAGATGTTGGGGAATTCGTGCACATTATGACAGCAACCGGCGATGAGCCATCTTGAGGAATTTCGCATCCCCAACACTGAGCTCATCAACAATGTCTGCAGACATCTCCTGCAACAAGCAGAATCACCACGACACCGAAACCGCATTATGCGGAAATATTATCGTCTGCGAGTAACCAGGAGTGATACCGTTCACCTTCCTAAATAACTCCATTTGGTCTCTTCGCGCTCAAATGACAAAGCATGGCAATAAAAATGCTGGCGAACGTGGCCAACTACATCAACTTGCCTGATCGCGGTGCTCATCGTGGAATTCCTGCCAACGCATTTTACACATTATGTAATGCTATGTTTTTATGTCAAATTGTGACTGTGTGTGTGCAAACGCAGTCGAACTAACACTTAAGAATTTACATATGTCTGATTTTGTATCGCTGACACTTGCCAGGGCTTCTAAACATGACATGCTCCTGTTTACTAGCTTAACTCACTCCACCTGATCTATTCTTTCTTTACTGTCAACCAGCAGTGCGTGAGACTACTTCCCCACACAATAAAGTGTAAAAACGTTCCACTTAATGAATCAGCAATTGATCAGCTGCAATATGCCACCGAAGAGCCATCAAACTACATTTGTGCATTAAAATTCCCAACACTCTGACTAGGCTAGTGCCAGTTTCGTTGCACCATCGTTTAACTGAAAATGTGAGATTAGAGTGAACAGACATTTTCATGGTGGTTCTTTAAGAACACTGCCATTCTGTCGACGCCATGCAATTTGTCCGAGAGCCACAATATTTTCACGGTCGAATTACAGCTCTGAAGCAACAACATACAAGACATACCGAACAAATACATAATCCAACGTAGTTAATTCACACTAAACAGTTATTTGATAGTCAACAACAGTTGTCTATCATTGACAATTTCCAACTCATGATGCTGCCAGCATGAATAAAAAGGTCTGCAATCTCCCATATCGTAAGAATTGCTTATCGCTGCATGGGATTGTTTAGAATGCAATACCAATCGCCACTTTTCAGTTCAAAACAGCCAATTTGATGCACCAACAACACAGGATGATCAGTTGTATTACTGCTGTGAATCGCGTTGGATCACCCTCTTTAATGCGGTTACTCCAGCCTTCTAGACACGGTGCTGCCTTCGACAGTAAGCTGGAGCCCACAACGCGGCCCAGGCGACATTGCGCGTTTGTGCCTGCGGTCTGTCCTCTTTATTAACGTGTCACTTAGACATGGCAGGCAAAAGTATTTGTCGTGGTGCAAATTACGCCTAACCACGAAGAAACACGGTATTTGCATTTTAGATTTGCGCGTGTCGATTAGCCACATGATTGCATAGTTATTGGTATTAGAGCCTACGAATTATTCCCATTTTCGTCAGCAGTTCGAAAAAAGCGAAAATTTGCTAATAGTCTCCTAGCCAATCAGTGTAATTGGAGAATTCGTCAACTAAGCACTGCTTACCAATTGGAAGGACAAGCGCAGGCATCACTTAACGGAAGAAGGTTTTGCTTTCGTAAACTATCCTACCACGAAACAGAGTCCACTCAACCCACACGTCTATCAAATTATATAAACTCTGAAAATATGGCTTTTGCAATTCCAGCCAAATTTCTGCCAATAAATCAGGTGTGTTTTGACCACAACTTAATGATTCACCGTTCACTTTGTAGATATGATGAACAAATTTATGTGCCTACTGATTCTTGTTCGGTATGCGTGCACCACCACTAGACCAAAGGATGCCGAACGCGCTAAAATTGTTGTCATATTCACGAAGATACGTGAGGAAGTTAAACCGAACGCAAGTAACATGAACATGCTGGTGCGTAGCTAAGAAATCCATGTAACCCTTAACGATTACCAGAAATCAAACTGGTTTCTGTGACTTGATGCAAATGATAGCAAACCTGCTCCCACCCAGACATGTCATTTTCCCACATGCGTCTCTTTTAGGCCTATTCCGACGACATGGAGAATGTGGCGGCTAAATGGGTGTCAAGGTGTTCTTTCTGGTACCCGCATCCAAGTTCCTTTCCAGAGATCAACGGCTCTAACATGCTGCTTCAAGAAAGTGCATCATTGAATAATATCTTCCAGAGTGCGGGTTTCTATGCCAATCAGGCAAACAACTACGACTATGACAACAACACGTGCAACGGTAACTGCAGGTATTATAAGTTGGTAAGCAGTTTCGTTTACACATAAATTCAATTTCAAAATAAATGGCCGATTTGGTAATTGTGAAACTAAAATCGAACATTTATGACTAAAGCATTCACGACTTACGTGCAAAGACAAATTTAGATTAGAATAATGAATGTATTTACACTTCTTCTTAACATTTATGTTGCTGTTCTTCAGATGGGACTTGAGAGTCACATAATTGTGGTAATAAATCAATCACTACCGACTCATCAGGCGAAATATTATGGCCAATAAAAAATTTTCATGAGAAAGCATGTGAATGAAATGCACCAACCCCTACACCCATCTGTTGCATCAATTCCAACCAATTAAAACCCAATCAGCAATGAGCGAAATCACAATTACTAACAAAAATAATGAAGTATCACTTATGTGCAGAAGACTATCAACTGCGAGGCAACAAAATTATTTAAGTGCTGCTTTTCAACCAGTTCTGATATTCTGATTTCAACTTTTAAAGATGGTGTGGGCAACATCGACTGAAATAGGCTGTGCATACAATGAGTGTCCGGCCCAATACAACGACAAGCGCGCATACCTACTATCTTGCGTATTCACTAATGTGTAAGTGGATACGTTTGTCTAAAATATCATGCAAGTGAAAACGTTTTAATCTAATGCATAGTTTACACGAAACATACTTTAACAGATCCAGTGAGCACGACCTGAAAGAAAGGCCGTACATCGCAGGAGAGAGTTGCTCGAACTGTACTCCAGGTTTGGTATGCAGACGAAAGCAGTGCGCCAAACCAGAATTGACCACAATCTCCATATCCACTACAACAACTCAATACCAATCAACCACGTCTCCAAACGGAACCCCACACCTGAACACTACAACAATTGCAGTGTCTTCTACACCTCAATACCAAACAACCACGTCTCCGCAGCGAACACAACAAATAAACAGTACACCAGGTACAACGTCTTCTACTACTGTCACTACGGTACAGATCTCCACTACAACATCTGATGCTTCGAGGATTTTACACCCGGCACTACTTCATTTAGCGATGCCTCTAATTGCACGTCTTGTACAGTCCTCTTGACTCCGTCTGCGACTCTTAATTAAAGTAACATTATCCGCTTACTGGTATTATGCCTAGTGTGTTAATATGTGCCACATGCAAGGTAACTCAGGACACCCAAAATGAGTAGGCATTTTGTTCAATTCTTTGCACCAAGCGCCTTGAGACTCATATTATTTTTTCGGCGGTCGGTATAACGGTCGTAAAGGGGCCTCTAAATGTATTGATAAAATCGTTTTGCATACGTAAGTTATTTGTACAATAAAAAGCCCATGCTAACTGCAGCATCACTGCGTCAATGTTTGGACAGGATTAGACTTTCTGAAAGAGAACTTTCACTGTCTCTGACACGCATCGACTGACTGACTGCAATGCCTAACATTTAGTTGCTCGAATCGTGAATGACATTGATTGGATAGACCAAGAGCGATATCAGCATAGATTGGGGCCCTAAGCTGGCAGCAGTTGAGATGAAGAGGTGAACGGAGAAGCTGATACTTAAAATCAAGTGATGACTAATCGATGTGACTGCTGGCTTTCTCGATATATGATTACCACACCATGTGCACATTTCGTCACAGAGATTGTGACACTGTGGAGGACGTCTTGGTGTCATCAGCCAAGACAGTTTACAGGTAAGTCATCCTCACAGAAGTCTGCGGTGCATTCCTGTAAATTTAACGAGTTGTTGTTGCAATGAAAGCTTTCAGGGTCATGAAGACCTCATGAGTTTTTCGACAAGGAAGTTTGGCAATCTAAGTAAATCCTACGGATATTTTTGGCGTCCCGAGGAATCTAAACTGGAGACTTCATGACGGATGCGTGCAACAGTTGCTTGCGTTAGTCACTGTCTTTCCCAGAGACGCATTTCTGTTTTAAAACACGTTCTACCGGAGTGCAATGTACCTGATACGTTAAGGACCCCATCTCCAGAGGTGACGCATGCCATGAGTTTTGAGGAAACAGTTCAGTCAGACCACTGGAAGCTGATCAAAACGTTCTAAATCGTAAATGCTTCCAGCGATGAAAACACTTTCAGGTAACTTTGACTCTAACCGGTGCAGATTTTAATTATATGAGCACCATGTAATGAAGCGCACAGATTCGCGTTCGTTGGCCATTTGACCTGATAAATGAAAATGGACTAAGGCACATGGTAGGGAAATGTGTGCAAATTGTGACGAAATTCGACGATGAGCCTTCCTGGGAAATCTCCGATCCCTAATGCGCAGTTCATCAAATATTTCCGCAGACATCTCCAGCAACAAACAAAATCATAAGGATCAAAATTTAGCATAAAATCCGCGTTATCTGGTAATTTTGTTCTTTGCGAGTTGTCAGTTATGATACAGTTCACTAGCTTAACTTACTACACCTGGCCTATTCTTACTACACCGACAAAGCATGGCCAAAATACATCAATTTGCGTGATCACAGTACTCAACGTGGATTTCATGTTAATACATTTTGCCCATTTCATTCGTCCATACACAACTCAAGTGCTCCTTTCTTGTGCTTGTGTGCATACGCGCTGTCGAACAAACTAATAATAATTGAACCTATGCCTGATTGCACACAGGTGACACTTTGCGTTGTTTCTATACTTGCCAAGGAACTGCTCACTGGGGTAACTCACTTTACCTGGTTTATTTACACCCCTTAATCCGGTCGGTCCACATCGGACACAGGGTTCCGCTTTTCGCAGCATCTTGTCAGCCGCAAGGATTCTCCACTCCCCCTCATTCACTTCCCCTCATTCTGACATTTATCTTGGGATATTCTCACACATAGGTCTCAATGTTAGTGCATGTATGACGCACAAATCCGAGGAATAAATCAACACGCGCAAACCCCACGCACGACACAACGACACCAACGAGGTTGAGCTCTAAAGTAACTTGTCGTGTCCGTCCTCTTTGGTCTTTTTTTCATCGCGCGTACCAAGGATACGTGATCGGGCCAGGGTTAATTCCGTGGCCTTGGCGTGGTCCACTACCACAAGCTAGGGCCCACAGCAGTGCCTTTTGTTAGGCTTGTACAAAAAAATTTGCCAAACATATAACGAAATTTCCAGAATTAGGACATTAAACTGCTTGTCTCAATTTAAACACTTTTTCTTTCAATATTTACTAGCCTTCTTTCGTCCAGTATTTTTTGAAATAGGAAAATTTAGATAAGTAGGTGGTTTATTCCCTAAAGTTGAGTTTAACAGTTTGTTATATGTTGGTCAAAATTTATTATAATATTTTTGAAATGGCTAAAGGATGTGAATTTTCAGCAAACCAGTGCGTGTATATCGAGGAATTCGTGTCAACGTTATTAATTTTTGCACGTGACTTTGTCACCTTATAGAGTATGCATGATTTCTTGCTCAGTTTAATACCAAGTATTTCCCTCTCTGAAATACCAAATAGTTTACAATAATTAGTCACAAAAAATTTTACTAACGTTAGCAGCCAGTTTCCTAGGCTACTATTTATATCTTTAATAATGTATCCCACAGGCAGTTTCTGTTTTGTAAAAAAATTAAATGCGTATTTGAATTACCACTGTGTTAATAATCCTACGCTTACTTTATAATCTAAATGTTCACATCTAGAGCAACTGGTGCATGTTCTGGAGGCGTTGTGTGCTGAGTTTTTCAAGTGTTTCAAGGAAATTGCACCCCTTGTACTTATCGACCCTGACGTCCTTTTCAAGCTACAAATTTTGGCCATATAATGCTCAAGCAGCAAATCATGTTGCTTCTGCAATGACTGATTTGTTAGGAAAACGGATATTGGACACGGAATTCAACGCCATCTTGGGTAACACGTGGATTGATCTGTAAAGTTGGCAGCTACATCGTGTGCTGTCTCATGCATTAGGAGCCATAATCGTTCACAATGTGGCTTATGCACCAGGAAACCTGCACGACATGTGTTTGTGACTAATTATCCCTTTTCTTTCATTTTTCGTGAATAGTTTCAGAGTTCTTGCGCATGGCTGATGGTGAAGCAATCATGGACATCGACACGCACCATATTTTCTGAATCAGCGATTCTTTTTTGTTAGTAAAACAAATTAACCAGTCACTTTGTGTGAACATGACATGTTCCTTATTTTCATTTTACCCCATTAAATTGCCAACAACTTCAGTTCTCTGGTTGGAAGAGGACACGAGGTTGTTTTAGCACCTCGACGTCATGTGTGCGAGGTCGCTTGTGAATGGGCAAACAGGTCTAGAGGCGATTAGCAAACCTCTCTATTTTTTTTACAAAATTTCGCAAATAGCAAACATCGTTTTCGAATTCACGAAGTGGAAATAGAGACTTAAAAATTGACTGCGTCGAGATTTCACGAAATGACATTAATTTGGCAAGCATTTTTGAGAAAATGTTACTGTAGATCACGAGTCCATTTGCAATGGTTTCCTGGCATGTCGGTGGCCTCAGTCAAACTTGCCCCAAATTTTAATTGATGCAGTAGGCTCACATAGACGCTTGCACAGCGACATCTCAGTAAACCGATTCAAATCATGCCTGTGGAGTGCATCAGCTCTGATCATCCGATCCCTGACGGACAGTAAATGCTATGTTTATGTTAGGAACAGTGTTAACGCCAATAAGTTTATCATCGTTTTACTTTTGCAAATCAGGAGAAATGCTCACACGCCAAGTTAATGTCTTTTTAAATGTCTGCTTAGGGAAGTTGCTTGACTCAGAGCTCCACAACTACTTGATGATCTGTTAAACTATTTCGCATTACTGACTATGAGGCGCCAGGAGTGAAATATTGTAAATGTTGCACTTAAGAAAGGAATATGTCGGGCACGCAAGATATATTGCTAATGCATTTGAGCAACAAGACTTGAGACAGGTCAAATGTACTTCAGATATCACAGTGACAAACGTACAGGTTCACTCTTCTTATTGTTAAGGTCGTTAATCTTGTTTGCTGAGGTGAAGTAAGCAGAAAATGCTTTAGAGTAGCGCGCTGAGGAGGCAGCGGCTGATTCAATTAGACAAACAAGCGGCATTTTGAAGAAGCAGCAAGCGCATGTTAGTCATCCTGCAATTTCACAAATCTCTTCTTTCACATCATGACTTTAGAAGCAGCCATATCAACAACTGAAACAAATTCCTTTCTTTCACGGACGAAACTCGATACCTTCGTCTAAGATATTAGTCAGACGTTGGATTTTGTTTGATGAAATTACTCTTTTTCAAAACAAAACCTGTTTGATTCTGAAGAAAACCTGTTGAACCAATCGAAAAATTGATGACTTTTTTCCCGTTTTCTGCTCAAAAAATCCAACAACCTTCCAACTTGAGAAATTTTCCGTCGACTATAGTGAAAATGAGTTGTTTGGTTTAGGACAACTCCTTCTTGTTACAACGTGTGTTAAAATCTCTGACGAAAGTCGTGCGATAATGCGAAAACAAGTACAGTTGTTTGCTTGTGATTGGTTAACCAGAATGCGTACACGTCATTTGTTATTGCCAATACACACGTGAACTTGATTTGGCGACATTCACAGAATATACGACTGATTCTGGGTTGATTCGGCTAAGGTTAGTCATGTAGTACGTTGCCTAAAAGAAACGTTATTTAGTCGCTTCTTCTTCCATCACGAAAAGAAACAGCATGATAATTCTCTACACATTTGTGGTACCAAGCAAGGTAGCTGTGATTTTAGAGACGATCAAATTTGTACAAATTTGTTTTTCGAAAATTCAATCTAACTTGTCTGTTATCTCTTTCAAAGTTACCGTACGTCAGATGTCAAAACTACGGAAATTGCGTTTCATTTAACACTATTTATTCCCCTCGTGGGCTTCCACATTTCTAATAACCGAGGAAATTCACATGCACTGATACAACGTCGGTGAAAGCTCGTGCGCGTCTATCATTGGTCGGACACAAAGCACAGCGACATCTAATTACGTGCACCAAATGCTGCTCC